CGCTCCTGCACGGCTCGACTCCTGGTGTTGGCAGGGGAGTTCTGGAAGGCTGCACGAAATGCCCCGAGCGTGTCCCCCTGCCACAGGAGCCCGTCCACCTGCCTGGGTCCGGGCCTGGCTCGCTGCCACCACCGCCGCCTCCTCCTGCTTGTCCACGAATTTGTTCTCATCAAACTCATTGATGTCCACTGGACGGAAGCGTCAGGACAGCGTGTTCTGGGCCATGGTCGGGGGCTCAGCTCCAGCCCATCCTCAGATCCCCTTCACTCAGAACTGGCTTCTGGGTGGGAAGCGGTCGCCTGATAGTACCTCCACCTCCTCTGCAGGCAGCCTCTGCCACTGCCCACTGCCAGCCCGTACCAGAACCGGAAGTACCCCGTATCCTTCATTTCTGCCTGGATCTTTTGTATGCTGTTGAGGTCCTCACCAAGTTCCTTGAGCATCCTTATAACCAGTGTACTGAACTCTGCATCTGACAGATTACTTATTTCCATTTCATTTACCTCTTTTTCTGGAGTTTTAATCTGTTCTTTTATTTGGGTCATGTTTCTTTGTCTCCTCGTTTTGGCAGCGTCCCTGAGTTTGTTTCTGTGTACTAGGTAGAGCTGCTTTGACTCTGTGTCTTGGTAGTGTGGTCTAATGTAGTAGGTGTCCTATAGGGTCCAGTGTCACAGACTCCCCTATCATCCAAGCTGGGTACTCAAGGTGTGCCCTTCGTGTGGGCTGAGTACACCCTCCTCTTGTAGTTGAGCCTTGGATGTTGTTGGCGGATCAATGGGAGGGATTTACCCAGGCCAGTCAGCTGCAAGGATTGGCTGTGACCACTGACCACTGATGCTCGCCCTCTGTGGAGTATCAGCTGTGCAGGAGCAGGGTGGTGGTCTGTAGCTGACCACTGGGTGCACTGGCCCCTGGGGTTTCCCAGGTGGTGCAGGCCAAGGTCAGCCCCCACCTGTGTTTTGCCTGGAGCCACCCTGCCTGAGCTATAAAGCAATCTGACAAAGCTGCTACTTATGCTGGGCTTGGAGGTTCCCAGGCAAAACCGAGCTGTGAATCTTGGCTTGCTGCTGCCAGTGCTGAGGCTGGGGCTCACCAAGGCCAGCTGTTGCTTGTTTGATAGGATTGAGGAAGTTGTGAAGCATGAGCCAAGACCAGCCATTCATATGGAAAAGCAGCTTGAGTGGGCCTGTTAGTTGGGTGGGGCGGAGTCTCTAGGCAGGTCAAATAGTGTTAGCCAGGTTGATGGAGTCTCAGACAGGGCACCAGCTTGCTGGCTCTACGGGGGAAAGGATTTAGAAAAGGAACAATGGCCTCTGCTTGCCCTGATGCCAGACACTTCGGTCCCTCCCTGTATACCACTGGTGCCTTTCAAGCTGCTACCCCTGTGCTTGAGCTCAGAGGGAGTGAGTCTGGGTGAGTCCGGGTGAGTCCGAGTGTGGGTTCTTTAAGGGAACTGCTTGGGGCTCCAGCAGTTTCTTCCACCAACTTAATCCCTTCTGGCTCTCGTAGCCAGAAGTTGTGTGGACTGATCTTCCTGGCACTGGAATTTCGGCTGGGGGTCTTGTGTGGGTCTGGGACTCCTCACTCCTGAGCTAGCACTTGCATGTTTTTATTGACCACACGTGTGTGGGACCAGTCAGTTCCCGCCTGTGCCCCTTTTATCAGTCTGGACGGATGTGGTTTCTTTAATTCCCTAGTTGCCAAACTTCCATTCAACTCAATTTCTGATGGTTCTGAATGATGATTGATGTATATTTTAGTTGTAATTTTGATGTGGTTTTGCAAAGAGGCAAGCCATGTCTGCCTGCACTGCCATATCTTGACTGGAAGTAAAAATTGTGAAATTTTATCGAGTGCTTTTCAGGGCCCTGGCTGGGTAGCTCATTTGGTTAGAGCATGGTCCCTGTATGCCAAGGCTTCAGGTTCGATCCCCAGTCAGGACACAAACGAGAACCAACCAATGAATGCATCAGTAAGTGGAACAACAAATCAATCTCTGTCTCTCTCTGTCCCCCTCCCTTCCTCACTCTTCCTAAAATCAATAAGTAACAGAATTCAAATGCTTTTCTGCACTTACTGAGATGGTCGATGATTTCCCCTCTTTATTCTGTTACTGTGCTAACATGGTGAATTACGTCGGTTGATTCTTAAATGTTGACTCAGTCTGGCATTCACAGAACCAACCCAAACTGGTGGAGACGAATTCTCTTTTTTACATTTCCCATTTGATTTGCTTATATTTTATTTAGGAGTTTTGCATCTCTGTGCATAAATAAAATCACCCTCTACTATTCCTTTATGATATTTCTTTGTTGAGTTTCCTTCTCAAGTTTCTGCTGGTCTCATTTAAAAAGTCGGGCAGCAAGCCCTGAGTGGTGTGGCTCAGTCGGTGGAGCACCGATCCCCAGTCAGGGCACAGGCCTGGACTGTGGGTTCAGTCCCCGGTAGGGCGCCCGTGAGAGGCAACTGATCGATGTTTCTCTCCCTCTCTTTCTCCCTCCCTTCCCCTCTCCTTAAAAACAAATACATAAATCTTTAAATAAATAAATAAATAAAAAGTTGAGCAATGTTTTCTCTTCTCTGTTCAGTGAAAGCGTTTGTGTAAGACCGGCATTTTTTTTCTTCTGTGAGTAGTTCGGAGAACTCACTGAGGACGTCTTCTGGGCCCGGAGTCATTTCCTTTGTCCCCGTGGAGTCTCAGTTTTTGTTTTAATTGGCAACACGCACTTATGAGTGTAGTTGAGCAAGTGTTTTGTGTATCAAAACAGCCCTTTGTAGCTCTCCCTGGTCTAATGGGTCACATCCTGCACATCTTTCTAATGGATATTTGCTCTTTGGCATTAAATATTTAAGAATGTGAGTATTTTAGAAGCCAGCCCCATATCATATTACTTATTGAAAGCATTCCCCCCCCAACGTTTTTTTTTTTTGGTCTTTTAAGATATTTTCCACATCAACTTTAAATTTTTATGTGTTCAAATGTACCCATTTTTTCTTTTATGGCCCCTCGATGTTGTGTCTGGCCTACAGCAGACTGCCTCACTCGAAGAATGTGAGTATAACATTCTTGTGCTTTCCCACGATAGGCACACGGGCTCATTTTGAACTCTTTAAAAAAATCTTTGTTCCAACTGAAATTTACTTTGGTGTAAACAGAAAGATAAGGATCTTAGATTATTATTTTCCCAGATGGCCGCCCACTCGTTCCAGTACCAGTTGTTAATGACTCATTTCCCCACTGATTTGATCCTTCCTGTAGCAGAGACCGACCCGCGCTCACCCGCACCTCTTTGTGAGCGCCGTGCCGGTGGAGGTCCGTCTGCGCCTGCACGCGGGGGTGTTTGAGCTGCTGTACGTTTAGCGTTGGTTCTACGAAGTGATAGATGTGTTTAGCTGGTTTTTTTCTTACAAAGGAACCGATGTAATTAATTCAAAGAGGAAATGAAGGCCTTTCTCATAAGTGATGCTGGAGCAGTTGTGCAGGCCGCTATTTCAGCTGTTCCCTGGAGAGGCCTGAGATGCACCTCACGTTCACTTTTATGTGTGCTGTGGAGGAGGCTCAAGTCTGTTTTCTCCCTCTGTCTGCCCTGCGTCTACCTTTGGCATTTCCTCTGCGTGGCTCTGGGAGCATTGGTACTCAGTCCTGGCATCTGTGAAACTGGAATCATTCTAGCTCTCCTCCACGAGGGAGAATCGTACGAATTAACACGTGCAAAGCAATAGAATAGCGCCCAGCCCATGGTCTACGCCATATTGTTACAACGATGTTATCATTCTTGAGACCGACACTCATGTGTCAGAAGTCACACGAGCCGAGCCACTTTAAGTTGGAGCTGCCATCCCGGAGGGGCTGCTTTGCGCGGCTGATGCTCCAACCTCGGACGTTAACACTGGACAAAACAACCCTTGGCCTGGGCTTTGTATCCCCAACAGCTGTTCGCAGCGATAAAGAGAAAGCAGGCGTGAAGCTGCTCCCCTTCCCTCCCCACGAACACCCGGCCGCCTCCGCCTCCGCCTCCTAGCGGCCACCGTCTGGGTTTCCGCCCGAGTCAGTGCTTCCCGGGCTGCGGCTCGCTTTCCGACCCCGTGTGGCCTCTGCCTGGGCTTTTTATAATTTTCGGGTTAACACATGTAGGGGAACAGCATTGTGAGCTTTTTTTTTTTTTTTTGGTCTGGGTTTTTTGTATGTCTGTTTGTTTGTTTTTAATCGAGAATAGGTGTTGAAAATGCATCTTCAGTCTCCATGGAGACCGCCCCGTGACCTTTCTCCTCCTTCCTTGCAGAGCTGGTGAGTCTCCCCCGGGGTGGATGGTGCGTATTCATTTTAATATGTTGCTGGGTTCTCCTTGTTGGTAGTTTATTTGAGAGTCTTTTGTTGAGCTTCACAAGCCCAAGTGGCCTGTGTTTGGCTTCGCCAGACCTGGGGTCAGTGCTGCTCTGGCTTCATGAGGCAAATATGGGCGTCTTCTCTCTTGCCCTTGACTGCGGTAGCTTGACTGGCAGGTGAGGTCTCTGGTCCTCATGCAGGACAAACTTCACCTGTGGGTCTTTCTTAATGTGCACTGCAGGTAGGCTAGTGTCCCCACAATGCTCTCAATTTTTTTTTTTAATTTCTCACCCAAGGACACATTTATTGATTTCAGAAAGGGAGGAAGTGAGACAGAGAGACAGAGACGTCAGTGTGAGAGAATTGATCAGCTGCCTCCCATACACTCCCCGACAGGGGATCGAACCCACAGCATAGGCACGCGCCCTGACCAGAAACAAACCCGCAAACTTCTGGTGCACAGGACGATGCTCCAACCGGCTGCGCCACCCAGCCAGGCCAACGTCCTCCGTTTTTTAAACAGTCATTGCTGTGTCTAGATCTTTGCCTCTTCTCGGGTCCACGTGTCATTTACACTCAATGTTGCCATATTTAGTAAACAAAAATATAAGGTGCCCAATTAGTTTCAGAAAAACGACGTTTTTAGTGTAAGTATTCCCCAAGTACAATTATATTGTCTTAAAAAGTAATTTATTTTGTCAACATTTCCAAATTTATTTGAATAAAGATTAGTAATCTTTTATAATATTTTAACTTCCTCTATACCTTAGGTTGTTTTCCCATTTTCGTTTCTTCTTTTTTGTGTTCACACTTCCTTCCTCTTTTCTGATTGGCTAGCTAAATAGCTTGTCGTATTTTTTTTCAAAGACCTGTTGTTTCTGAGTTCCCATTTATCCCTCTCTCCTTTAGCTTTGACTGTGTCCTTCCTTTTGCTTTCCTGCTTGTTCCGATTGTTCCTTTACTGACTTCTTAAGTTAGTTGCTTTATTTTTATTCCTATTCATCTAACCATTTAAGGCAATACATTTTCCCCTGACCCCTACTTTAGTTGTATCCTGTGGGAGCTGATCTGTGCTGACATCAATGTTATTTTGAAAATACCACGGTCTTGGTTTTGATTTCCTCTGTGTGACAGGTTTAAAGAGCCGGCTGTCAGATGGCTGGCAGGGCTGGGAATACCTTGCCGGAGGGTCCAGGTGGGGTGTGGGCAGGGGCTGGGCAGGTCCCCCCGGGCAGGACAAGCAGGGAGGGAGAGAAGTGGGCTTTTTCCTGGGGTCCCAGGAGCCCAGGGCTCCATGCTGCCCGGGGCCGGGGCAGGAACGCTTGTCCAAGGCTCGTCATTGTCACGAGTGTGGAATGGAGCAAGGTGGCGGCAGTGGCAAGGAGGCTGAGAGGGACAAGGAAATGGACCCAGGGCTGAGCCATATGGATGGAGGGAGAGCAGAGAGTAATCTGGGAAGGGGGAGAGGCAGACAGCAGAGAGCTTTTCGCTGCCTCAGAACTGGCTCCCCAGTCTGGTGTGTTGAGTCTGAGCTCCCTGTGGACCCACAGGCTCTGAAGCGGGGAGAGTGGGTGTGTGGCCTGATGCTCCAGAAGCCTGGGCCCAGGCTGGTCGGGGTCCCTGTGCCCTCACCAGTGGCGATTGAGCCTCCAGGTGGGTGACAGCCCCAGGGTGGGCTGAGGGGGTGTCAGGAGGGGGCACTAGAAGGCAGGGACAGGAGTGACGCTGGAAGGCACTGCAGGGAGGGACTGCCAAGGCCTTCGCAGGCCGGTTCAGGCCTCACTGGTGCACGGGCCTGAAGCGGGAGCACAGATGCTGGCTCCAGCAGGACGGCTGCGGCTGGTGTGGAGCAGCCCCTTCCCACTCAGATGGCTCAGGAAGGGCCCCGCAGGGCCCATGAGAGCTGGGCTGGAACTTCTATTAAACTGAAAGGGGTGCAGGGCAGAAGCGTGGTCACCCTTGCTGACTGTGACCTTCGGTGGATGTTCTGGAGCCACTGGGACGGTGGCCAGGGAGCCTGCCTAGTGTGAGGCCACCCCGAGGCCGGTCCTGATGTTGGGGGCCAGCCTCTGGGTCCCCCCAGGTCTGAAGCCCCTCTGCTCTGCTTCTAAGCCCACCTCTTCTGCCTCCCCTGACCCTGAACCAGACCCGCCCTTGCAGAGAGTCTGCTCCCCCCTCAGCCTCCCGAAGGCAGACCCTGGGAGGGTCGGTGGCTTCGAGGCGGCATGAGTGCATGCCACAGGGTGCTGTGGTCCCCGACCTTCCTCCCGAATCTGCCAGAGTGCCACCTCCACATGTCCCACGATCCTAGACAAGCCCAGACCAGGGATGTCGACTGCTCTCCACCTGTGCAGCCAACTAAGTAACAGTCCTCAAGTATGTCCCCGTCCGGATGCCCGGGGGCTGTGGGGGTTGCCTCCTATGGCAAAGCGACTTCGTGATTGAGTTAAGGCTGTGAGATGGGAGATTATCCCAGCCTCTCAGGGTGGGCCCTGTATGTCCTTCAGCGTCCTTACACTCTCTGAGGGTGCTTTCCCCACCTAGACTCGCCCGGAGCAGAAGGGGATTCCACACACAGCGGAGGCCACGAGACCACAAGGGAGGGATGGAGAGGCGTGGCCACAGGCCCGGGAACACGAGTTGCCCCAGCAGCTGGAAGAGGCCGGAAGGAGTCTCCCCCAGAGCCTTGTGGGAATGTGGCCCTGCCAACACCTTGACTTCTGCCCAGTGAGACTGATTTCGGTCTCCTAGCCCGGGAGAAAACAGGTTTCTGCTGTTCTGAGGTGCTCCATTTGTGGTCCTCTGTCTCCACAGGCACGGAGAACGCATGTCCGCCCCCACCCCGCGTGGCCCAACTCCAGGGCAGAGGGGGCAGCGATGACCCGAGGCAATGCTGATTCTCGGCCCTGCCAGGTAGAGGCATGCCCCCAAGGGGTGTTTGGGGGGCAAGGGAAGCCCCAGTGCCCTCAGGAATTAGTGTGGGGTCCGGTCAGTCCAGTGAGGACCCCCCCAGTGTGAGGGTGGCCCACCCACCAATGGGCAACGCCATTCACGGTGTCCAGGGGCTCATTCCAAGCAGCAGCTGTCAATCACGGGCAATTCAGTGACTGGCTGTTGGGGGCCAGGGGCTGCTGCTGCTGCATCTCGTAGGTAGAGGCCAGGGATGCTGCCCCACATTCCACAGTGTGGGGACAGCCCCTACGACAAAGAATGTGTCGCCCAGTGTCAGCAGTGCCAAGGGTAAGAACATGGGCTGGTGGGACCAAGGGAGGTGCTGGGGTCTTAGGTCTTGCTACACCCAATGTTTTCCTGGCACACAAGGCAAGACTCAGAGACAGGCCTTGGCCAAGGGCCCCTGGGCCACACCCTTGCCTTTTCCCCAATAAGTGGCCCCTTGGCAACCACATTTTGGAGCCCCAGTGAGTGATGGGGGTACTGCTTCCATCTAAGGGTGGCCTGCATGGGCCCAGCTGCCTCTGGGCCTTGGTTTCCCCACCTCTACTGTGGTTAATTGTGAAGGACTATAGGAACCAGTGTGATGTGTTCTGAAGGTCCCCTCCCCCACCTCAGCCCTGGATGAGGCTATGGTCGGCCTCCTCTTTAATCTTGAACGGGAAGATACACAGCTGGGGAGTGGGGCCAGAGGGGGAGGATGCGCCACAGGCCGGGGGAGAGGCCTGGGGAAGGCTAGAAGGGCCAGGGCAGGGCCACCAGAAGCTCTGAGGGAGGGCTCAGCCCCCACCCGCAGTGTCCCTGCCTCTCGCTACCCCAGGCTGACTCCCCAGCCAAGGGGCCCAGGTCCTGGAGGAACACTCAGTTTCACAGTCATGGCCGTGGCCAGCCTGCGCCACACACTGACGTTGAGCCAGATGCCAGCTCTCAGGCGCAGCCTCCTCAGTAGCCTGCGGCCTCCCCCTTCTTCCTCAGGTCTGCCACGGCATACACACAGGCCCCATCCTGGGACACGGCCTGGACCACGTTCAGGAAAAAGGGCCTGCTGCCTGCCTTCTGGCCCCGGAGCTGGAGCCCCCGCTGCACCTCCTGGAGAGGAGAGAAGGCCGGCTGGTTGGTGAGGGCAGCTTAGCTCTGTCTTTATAGTGGACAAGGCCCAGGCTGGAACCTGGGAACCCCGACCGAGAAGACAGGACTGGGTGGGGTGGGGGGTGAGGATGGAAAGACGTGGAGTCTACATTTCCCACCCTAAGGGCCCTGAAGGCCCTGGCTGCTGTGGCTCAGTGGATTGAGCACTGACCTGCAAACAGAAAGGTCACCGGTTCGATTCCCGGTAAGGGCACATGCCTGGGTTGCAGGCCACATCCCCAGTGGGGGCTTGTGAGAGGCCACCACACATTGATGTTTCTCTCCCTCTCTATCTCTCTCCCTTCTCCTTTCTTTAAAATTAAATAAATAAAATCTTTTAAAAAAGGCCCCAAAGGAGAAGCATGATGGGGAAGAATCATCCAGGACAGAAGGCACTCGAGATGCACGCTCATTTCTGTCCCAAACCCGAGGACAGTGGCAGGGCCCGCAGTCTCACAGACTCTGCTCCTCTCGGCCCACTGGCCGAGCCCCGGGGCCCTGAGAAGCAATGGCTCTCTGGGCCTTGGTCCCTGGGACTTTTTGTGAAAGGCCCTTGGAGACTCCCAGTCACCACCCAGGGTCTAGGAATCTCTCCATAGAAGGTCCTAGAGTCCAAGGTCCACGGAGAATTGTGTTCACAGAGTAAGGACAAGGTCAAGGCAAAGAGCCTAAGATGACCCCTGAGGGAGCACATGACGTGCTTCCATGGGGAGAACCCTGAACGGGCAGCAAAGGCCTTGGACTCTGAGAGTTTGGGCCTGACGGGGGGAGGCCCTCCCTCTCCTGCCCCGCAGACCAAGCTTCCCAGGGCTGACCCGTCCCCTTGGGCTCCAGGCCTCTCACTCTGCGGTTAGTGGGGGGTCCTAAGGCCAGGGGCGGCTCCTAACAGGAAAGGCAGCTTTGAAGATCTTAAACCCTAGCTGGTTGAACTGACCCTGGGCACGAAGTCTGGAGCCTTGAGAAGCTGCTAGTGTTTTGAATTAGGTCCTAGCAAAGGGCATCTGCCAGCCCAGGGGAGCATCGAGAAGGCTTCCCGGGGGTGCAGGTGCAGTGGAATCAGCTCCCAGACCCGCTTGTGCAGGGGACCGAGACACGGCGTAAGAGCTGGCACCAGTACAGCCCCGATGCCTCAGCTCCTCTGCAGACTCACATGGGAATAATAAATTCTTTTATAAATAAACTTGCACGTAAAAGCTACAAATCACATGAGGAAACAGATCATCACGAGGAAGAGTCAGAGGCCACAGCCGGGAAAACTAGCTTCTGGAAGGAAAGGTGCAGACAGCGCCAGGGTCAAGGTGCTTGGCCTGGGAAAAGCACGAACACCACCCTGCTCTCTGCCCTGGAGGCCGTGAGACTGGCCTTGTGCCTCCCCCACGGCGCTGCTCAGCTCACAGTGCCCAGAGCTGATGTGCACTGGGCCGGAAGCGCTCCGAGGTGGACACCCACTGGGGGTTGCCAGCGGCCTGCATGGAGGTGCCCCACCCAGAGGTGGCTCAGACTTTGGCCTCACCTGGCTGAATTGGGGCTCGTATTCCACCTGACCCTTGTCATTCACGTGCAGGATGGGGGCTGCAATGGCTGCTCTCAGATCAAAGCCAAGCCACAGTTTGTTCACAATGGCCTGGGGGAGAGAAGGAGGATGCAGAGAGGGAGGGGGCAGCAGCCATCCCCACCACCCCTCCCCTCCCCCAGGACAGCAGGGCAGCAGGGTTGCCCGGAGAGGGGACGCCCCAGCCAGGAGCCCCCAGACTCACCTGGGTCACAGCAGAAATGATGAGGTCCCCACCAGCCCCTCCGATCACCAGCTTCGACCCCTGCGCTGTGTTGACCAAGATGGAGGGGACCATGGATGATGGGGGCCGCTCACCTGGAACTGGAGCCGAGATGGGTGTCATGGGCAGCCAGCGTCCCAGGGCTGCGCCCCTCCATCTCAGTCTCTGTGCGCCACCTCACAAGCTGCGGCCCGGCAAGGTGGAGTGGCTGCTCCGGGAGCCTCCATGCCACACACTCCTGCCCGCCTCCTCCCTCTCCCCTGCGGGGCCCACACTCACCAGGCGGAGGGGCCTCCCCAGAGCCAGGCCGGCGCCTCCAGCAGAGGTCCAGCAGTTCGTTGTTGAGGAGGATGCCCGTGCGCGGGGAGTACACCATCGCTCCGAAGCTGCGGAGGGAGGGGGGCGCAGAGCCCAGGCTTGGGCTGCGGGCTCCTGTCGCCCACACCTGGCCTGGAGGCCCACTCCCCAGCCTCCCAGGAGCCCCTCATTTTAGTGGCGACCCTCCAGCATGCTGGAGCTGCCATTTTCTCCCTGGCACCTCCCCCAAAGACCCACCCGTGTGCCCCAATCAGGGCATCCTCTGGGTGAAGCCCACCCCTTGGTGGGTCCTGGCTCAGGGCCACCCACGGCCAGCCTGGTCAGCAGAGATATGAGGGGTATAGAACCCCTTGACACAGAGGAAGAAACAGCAGGAAAAGCAGGGTGCTGCCCCATGGAGACAACCAAGAAGAGGCCAGGGGCTGGGAGACCAGGTCGAGGGCAGGGGTGGGCGTGGGAGGGGGACTCAGGTCTAGGAGGTGAAGGAGTGGGTGGGGCCTGTCTGCCTGCAGGGCACACGCACGCACGGGGTGTTGATGGTGCTGGTGGCCGCCACGGCACTGCCGTCCTCCCCCAGCACAGACACGTGGGCCGTGCCCATTCTGTGGCTCTGGGTCCCATCCAGGTTGTAGTGGCTGAGCTGGTGGTCACCCCGGGCGTCAATCTTCTGGCGAATGTGCTGGGCCAGAGACTCCCCCAGCAGCTCCCAGGAGCTGTTCTGGGGTGGGTGGTTGGTTGGCAAGGTAAATGGGGGGCCAGCTGGGGCCCACAGAGACTCTCCAGTCTGTTCTCCCTTGAGCCCAGGGGACATCCCGCCCATCTTCCAGGTCCTCTGAGACTTGCTGCCACCCTCGAGCCTGTCTGTTCCAGTGCCCCGACCTGCTGACCCCTCCATGCCCTGGGCTGTCCCGTTCTAGAACCAACCACGTACACAGCCCTCCAACCTCACCCGGCCAGGCTCTCAGGCGCACGGACGCAGCACCCACTGGCCAACCCTCCCTTCCTGCTGAGCCCAGGGCTCCCCCGGCCTCTTCACCTGGACTTCCGGGTGGCCTCGAGGGTCCCACAGCCGCCACCTCAGCCCTCTGGCAAACTTGAACGTTTCCACGAGGTGATGGTACAAGTCCACACTTCCCTCAGAACTGGCCACTGACTCCGCAGAGAAGTTAAACCCTGCAGAGGGGGCGGGCGCAGGTGGGGGTCACCCTGGGTAGTGGGTGGAATGTTTGACCAAGCCCCCCCAAAAGATTTGTCCACGTCTTAGTCCCTAGAACCTGCGAATACTGCCACATACGGCAAAATAGTGAATATTACCTTTTATGGCAAAACGTGTGATTAAATTAAGGATCTTGAGGAGCAGATTATCCTGGATATAACTGGGGTAGAAATGGGATCAGTGTAACCTTCCGCACCAGACAGAGGAGGGGAGGCCCTGCGGCCCCAGAGGCAGAGACTGGAGTGACACGGCCGCAGGCCTGGGGGCACCGGCCGTCACCGAAGCTGGGAGAAGCCGAAAGGGTCCTCCGGAGCCCCCAGAGCTCCCAGAGGAGACGTGGCCTGGCTGGCCCCCTGGTTTTGAACTTCTGGCCTCCAGAACTATGACAGAGTAAGGATCTGTTGTTTGAAGTCCTAGGCTTGGGGTCTGTTGTTGCCAAAGCCCCAGGAAACAAACACAGCCTCAGGCAGCCCAGCCCCCGACACCGCCCGGACCCGCACCGCCCTGCAGCCCTCCGTAGGCCAGGCCGGCCCCACAGGGTGTGCGCACTAGACGGCAGCTCTCCACCTGTGAGCCTACCTGCTGCTGGACCCTGAGCTCGCCACCTGCGGGGAGGACTCCCAGTGGGTGGGTGACGCAGACCCTCCCTCCGGCGGAGGCCCTGGGCCAGCCTTAGGGCACGCCGTCGTGACCCATTTCCCACAGCCCTGTCTTCCTCATCTGACGAGGGGCTGGGCTGGAAAGGGCAATGGCTGCCCAAGGGCATGGCTGGGAGTTCAGGGGCCCAGCAGGGCAGGACCGGGCAGGAGGGCCGGGCCTCACCTTCCAGCACGTGGAGGACGAGGCTGAGAAGTGCACCCCCTGCAGGCGGTGGCGGCGAGTACAGGGTATAGTTCCCCAGAGGCGTCGCCAGGGCGTCCACCACCTCAGGCTGGAACGATGCCAGGTCCTGCATGGTCAGATTGCTGCCTGGAGTGAGACGGAGAAACCTCCGTGTACAGATGGGGAAGCGGATGGGGAGTGACAGCCACTCGTCACACAGTGGGGCTGCCCTGTGACCAGTGGCATCAGGGCTGGGCCCTAGGGTCAGGTGGGGGAGGGGTGGGCAGGGGTCACAGCAGGCAGGTGGGGCGAAGGCGGGGAAGGTGGGAGAGGCGAGCTCGCCTCGGGAGACTGTGAGGGTTGCTAGCTCCAGGCCCAGGAGCCCCCATGGCCCCCTGTGGCCACAAACAACTCTCCTCTGTTGGTCCTAAACCACGGGGACTCTGCTCCTTGAGGGCCGTGACAGCAGGGTCACTGAGGCTGGCCAGGGCACACAGCCTCTCCACGCCCTGAGAGCAGCAGCACTTCCTCCGGGCCCCAGGGAAGAGCCTGCCCCCAGGAACCCATGGCCAGAGCCCGGCCCTTTCTCTGGCAGGCGGGGGCTTCGGGCTCAGTGTGGCTCACCCTGCTCGGCAATGTCCTCCAGCAGCATCTGGCCCAGCCTCCCTGAGTAGAAGACCTCTGCGCCTTCCCTGGCCACCGTCTCCAGGGTGTCGGCCAGCGCGGGCCAAGGGAAAGGGTCCTGAGGCTGCAGGGGCTGCGTCCCATTGAAGAAGAGCTGCCTGGGGGCAGGGGGCAGCGGGCAGCTTCAGAGTGGGCCTGGGGCCGGGAGGGTGGCCTGCAGGGCCCTCTCAGGGTCCTTGGGGCCCTACACGGGAGCAGCCTGGTCCTGAGTGACTGGGGTGGACATCGAGGGGACAGAGTCTCTAGGATTGGGTGGGGTGGGCACCTCTCACCTCACTCATCACCCTGCCCAGGGAGGACACACTCCCCAGTCAGGCCTGTGTCCACTCAGGACCTGCCCTCCAGGTCCCAGGAGGGCCTGGCCAGGGGGCTGGCAAGGTGGGCAGGGGGGTGGCCAAAGCCATCCTGCCATCTGAGAGAATGTGAGAAGGAGGGCAGAGCTAGAGGGCACTGGTGGAGCCCAAATCTGTGGCCTTGGGGTCCTATCACTTGGGCACAAACTCCCTCCAGCCTGAGCCCCTCCCATTAGGTTTTGCCACAAGGAGCCCAGAGGTAGGAACTGAGACAGCAAAGTGCTGGCCGTTCAAGGTCCCCTCATACCGCAGAGGGTTAGTCTTCCAGGGGCTCAGGTGGAGCTGGGATGGGGGCTGGGTTCAGACAGACCGTGGCCTGAACCCAGGAGCTGAGCAAAGGTCCCTGCACCCAACCCCCGCTCGGGGCGCCGCTCACTTCAGGGAGGACTTCAGCAAGAAATGGCGAAGCAGGCTGTTGTTCAGGAACTGACTGAGGACGAAGGGTGTGCGGTAGCCCCCGCGGAGCAGCTCAATGGTGGGCTGGAACAGCTGCGCCCAGGGCAGGCGGCCGTGGCGGCGGTGGGCCTCGGCGTAGCCACGGAGCTCCCCGGGCACGCCTATCCACGAGGTCCCTGTGGGGCGGGGCGGCATCATGCTCCTGCTCCCATGCACCCCCCCTGCTCGGCCTTCAGCCCCATGGCTCCCGGCCCGCCCCAGGTTCTCCATCACCCCCACACTGGACCCCACCAGCCTCGCACCCCAGCCACGGCAGCCGGAGTGGGCTTTCTGGAGCCCACTCCTGACTATGTCCCTCCCCACTGAACGCCCCTGGCTGCCCACTGCCCTCTGTGCAAAGTCCACAGCACAGACTGGCCCTAGGACTCCCCCAGCCCCACACCCCTCTCCACTGAACCCCGCAGCCTTTGCCTGGGCTGGTGCCTCTGCTTAGGTCCTCCCTCCCTACTCAGAGAGCTCCTCCCCACTGATAGTCCCCAACCCCAGCAGGTCAGGACCTCTGTGGGGGCTCCCCATCCCCCAGCTGCTGTCCCCCAGTGTCCAAGGGTCTCAGCCTGTCCATGAAGCCTGCCACCCCTCCAGGGGGTGTTCTGGTCAGCACCAGTGGCCCTTTCCGGGGCCTCACCTGTGCCCAGTAGGTGGGCGTGTTTACACTGGTCCAGCAGACGTGGGTTATGGCTGGCGGGCACCGTCTCCCTGGCATTGATGACCTCCACCTTCCCTGGAGTCCGGGCAGGGGGAGAAAGTGGTCAGGGGCACTCCTATGGCTGCCCAGCCTCAGCTCATACCGTGGTCCTCCTCACACATCCCTCACCCTAGGTTTCCCTCCCCGTATTGTGAACAGAATCCTCTACTCAGGACAGGACCTACCATGAAGGTGAGGCGGGGGTGGGGAGCAGCAGGGGCTCCAAGAAGACCCAGAAAGGGGCATGGGCAGATGGAACAGGCTCAGCCGGATACTTGTGCTTGTGGACAAGCCCATCCTCCCCACGGGGGTCCCATATGGACGCACCTGTGGTCGCATTGTAGATGGTGAAGATGACCCCTCCGCCCAGGCCCATGCTCTGGGGGTTGACAACGCTGGTGCAGACGAGAGCCGCGATGGTGGCATCCACGGGGGAGCCCTGCTGCTGGAGGACGGCTCTAGAGGGAGGGCATGGCACAGAGTGAGGGAGGGGCCTGGCTCCTGTGCCCCGACCTCCCCACCGGGCTTGCTCAGCTGGCAATCACTGGGGAACGGTGACAGGCAGGTGGCCTGTCTGCTGCCACCAAACCATCAGAAAACAGACCAGGCTGCCCCGTCAAGTCCAGCCACTCACAGATCCATAGAACTCTACAGATCGCAAACCACGGTGCCAGGTACATGGCCCCTTGCCATGTATAAGATGCTTCTCAACATGCAAAGTTCTTCTCTTGCCACTTATCCCTAGGGCCTCCCAGCAGCACCGGCTCATCTGCAACAGGCAGAACCAGGACTGAATCAGGCCTGGGCCAGCCCCTCGGTCCCTCCCAGCAGTCCCAGGGGCCCAGCCACCATTACCCATCTCACTGGGGACACACGAACTCCAGCCCCTTTAGGACTGGACATTTTTGGAGTAACTCCCGTTTCCTGGGTGTCTTCTATGCATGAAGGGGAGGGTCCGGACTGCCTAACCTGTGGATTTGCTAAAGGAGGAAAGGTTGCCCTGGGGGCGAGGTCCTTGTTTCCGCAGTTTGGCCCGTTGCTAGAGCCCTGGGGCTTTCCACCCTGCTGACCTTCTGTGTCTGGCCCATTGTCCTTACTCTGCTCCTGTGGTGCTAAGGTTCAAACCTCTATCTGCCGCTATGGAAACTTGGATGCTACTGCCATAGTGTGAAATTTATCCAAAGTGAAGTTAATAAAGGATGATAGAAGAGCTAGATCTCCAAGATGGCGGCCCAGGTAAACACGGTTCACCTCCTCATACAATCACATGAAAATTACAACTAAACTATAGAACAGCCATCACTCCGAACCAGCAGAAACCAGGTTGAATGGAGACCCTGCAACCACAGAATTAAAGAAGAAACCACATCCATCCAGACTGGTAGGAGACGCGAAATGGGCTGGTCCCACACCCACATGTGGCCAATAAAAATCTGGACGAATATCTCAGAAGCAAGGGGTTCCAGTTGCACATGAGGCCCCCCCCGCCCAGGGTTCCAGTGCCAGGAAGATAAGTCCCTGTGGCTTCTGGCTGTAAAAACCAATGAAGATTGAGTCAGTGGAAGAAACTTCTGGAGTCCCAGGCAGTTCCTCTTAAAGGGCCCATGCACAGACTTACTCAGACTTACTCCCTCTGAGCTCCAGCACAGGGGCAGCAGCTTGAAAGGCACCAGTGGCATACAAGGAGGAACTGAAGTGTCTGGTATCAGGGTGAGAGGTTGGGGCAGCTTTCTCCAAGACAGAACTGCTGACAGAGGCCATTGCTCCTTCTCTGAGCCCTCATGCCACAGAGCACAGCATGCACCGTACCTGAGACTCCAACCACCTGTCTCACAGTGTTTGCCCTGCCCTGACGATTCCCTGGGAATCTGCCCCACCCAACTTAGGGACCCACCCAAGAGTTAACAATGGCTTTTCCACAGAAATGACTTGTCTTGGCACATGCTCCCACTAGCAGCAGCTGGCCTTGGTTCACAGACTGGCCTCACTAGGGCACCTCCAAGCCCATCACAAGAAGCAGCCAGCTGCTGATTGCTTTGTAGCTTAGGCCAAGTGGCCCCAGACAGGACACTAGGGGGTACCCGAGCCCTGCTGAAGAAATCCCTGCTCTGTAGAGTGAGCCCCTGAACAGCTGACCCCCCATGGAGAGCAGAGGTTGGTGGTCAATGGTCACAGCCAGTCCTGGCAGCTGACTGGCCTGGGTAAATCCCTCTCATTGACCTGCCAACAGCTATCAAGGCTCAACTACAAGAAAAGGGTGTACTCAGCCCACACAAAGGGCATACCTTGAGTACCCAGCTTGGGTGATAGGGGAGTCTGTGCCACTGGACCCTACAGGACAACATTAGGCCACACTGCCAAGATGGGGAGTCATGACAGCTGTACATAGAAATGTAGAAATTATTTCTCTTGACACATAGAAATAAACACAGGGAGGCTACCAAAATGAGGAGGCAAAGGAATATGGCCCCAATGAAAGAACAGAAAAAAATTCTAGAAAAAGAATTAAACAGAGTGGAGTTAAGCAATCTTTCAGAACACAGAGTTCAAAACACTGGTTATAAGGATGCTCAATGAACTTAGTGAGGACTTCAGCAGCATAAAAAAGATCCAGTCGGAAATAAAGGATACACTAATTGAAATAAAGAACAATTTACAGAGAATTAACAGTGGAGTAGATGAAGCTGAGAATCATATCAATGATTTGGAACACAAGGAAGCAAAAAACAACCAACCAGAACAACAAGAAGGAAAAAGAATCCAAAAAATGAGGATAATATAAGGGCCCTCTGGGACAATTTCAAGCATATCAACATTTGCATCACAGGGGTACCAGAAGGAGAAGAGAAAGAGCAAGAAATTGGAAGTTGTTTTGAAAAAATAATGAAAGAAAAATTTCCCTAATTTGGTGAAGGAAATAGACACATAAGTCCAGGAAGTACAGAGTCCCAAACGAGATGGATGCAAAGAGGTCCACTCCAAGACACATCATAACCAAAATGCCAAAGGTTAAAGATAAAGAGAGGATCTTAAAAGCAGCAAAAGAAAAGTAGGTAGTTACCTACAAGGGAGTTCCGATAAGACCATCAGCTGATTTCTCAAAAGAAACTTTGTAGCTAGAAGAGATTGGCAAGGAATATTCAAAGTGGCGAAAAGCAAAGACCTACAACCAGGATTAGTCTACCCAGCAATGGAAAGGCAGTTAAAAAGCTTCCCAGACAAGAAAAAACTAAAGGATTTCATCATCACCAAACCATTATTATATGAAATATTAAAAGGACTTAGTTAAGAAAAAGAAGATCAAAACTATGAACAATAAAATGGCAATAAATGCATACCAATTGACAATTGAATCTAAAAAACAAACTAAGCAAACAAGCAGAACAGGAGCAAAATTACAGATATGGAGAAGTCAGATGGCAGCCAGATGGGAGGGGGGATTGGAGGAATGGGTGAAAGGTAAAGGGATTAAGAAGCACAAATCAGTGGTGACAGAACAGCCATGGGGATGGAAAGCACAGCATAGCAGTGTATGAAACGGACAGGCCAAGGAACTTGCATTCATGACCCATGAACCTGAACAAAGGTATGGGGATTACCTGAGGGAGTGGGGGGGCTCTGGCTGGAGGGGAGCAAAGGGGTTAAATAGGGACAATTGCAAATGCATAGTCAATAAAATATAATTAGAAAAGAAGAAAAGAATGATATAAGAACCAAATTTACTAAAGGCTATCTACCTGAAAACACTGTCAGAAGAACACAAACTATGCGATAATTTTATTTTGCTGAACTAAGACAAAGAAAAATGTCATACAATTAAAAAAAAAAAGACTGGACTTTCTCAAGAGACCCCAGGATCCTCCCCTGCCATCAGGTCGTGGGGCTTGGGCTGATGGGTTCCACAACCCCTCCCAGGGCCCCGTGTCTATGGGAACGCTCTCCGGCCTCAGTCTCCCCATCTCTCCATGGGCAACAAGGAGGTTGCCCTCCAGCTTTGAGATGCAGTCGTACTGGCCTGTGTTGGAAATGCCCTTATCCCTGGGACACAGCCCTGCCCAGCTCACCAGGGGCTGCCTCTTCCCTTACACCCTGGAGTCCTCCCCAGAACTTCTGGGAAGCCAGCACTGAAGCCCCAGCTATAGACTGGGAAACCAAAGCGCAGAGAGGGAGTGGACGTGTCTCTGCCTCCACCCTGTGGGACCTCTGACCCCAGCGCCTCCCTCGGCTTGAGCCCCTTGGCTTGGCCACTCCCTCCCGCATTCACACCCTGCCCTGAGCCACGTGTCCCTGCTCTGGGCCAGCACATGGACACACACGGGTGCCACATGGACCCACATGATCTTGGAATGGGAAGGAGGGCACAAAGCCAGAAGCATGGAATAACTAAGACCGTTACACTCAGGCACAGAGAAACACAATTTCTTTCAATAAGAATAAAACACCAGAAAGTCAAAAGACAAACTGAGAAATATTTTTAAATTTCCATCGCAGATAAAGACCTCACCTCTCCTGACCTGCTCCTCCCCGCGGGGCGTTTTCTGCCGGAGGCTTCCCAGAGATGCGCCCCACCAGCTGTGCTGCGGTTCCCCTCCCACTGCCCTGACCTCACGACGTCGGGGGGCCTGGGCTCAATCCGCCGTCCTGGGGCAGTTGTGTCCCCTCCTGGATGAGCTTAGCCAGCTCGGGGCTCATCTGAGCCCATGTAACCTCTGTGCTGATGATCCCCAAATTTTATCTCTCGCCCAGTCCCCTCCCCTAAATTGCAGACACTTTACCCCCACTCCGTGCACCAGACACCTCCCCTGGGCGTGCAGGCGGCATTTCACAGTTCACATGCCCTAAATGGAACTTTCCATGTGCCTCCCACCTCTGCCCCCTAATGGCTTCTCTCCTAGTCTTCTCTGCCTTAGAAAAGGACACAGCAGTGTTCTCCTTTGCCCAGCCATAAACCTTGGAGTCGTCCTTGACTGGTGACTGCCCCCGCCCCACACCAATCCACTAGCAAAATCCTGCCAGTTGGTTATACCTTCAAAATATACTCAGCTGTGGGTCCTGCCTCATCACCCGCACGACCACTGCCTGGCCCAAGCCACCAGCCTCCCTCGCCTGGGTTGTTGCAGTTGTCTCCCACGTGGAAGCTGCATGCACCTTGCTCCCTTGCCTTTTAAAAAATAATCTGTCAAAATGTGAATCGGACATCAGTAGCGGGAGACTGACCTAGTAAGTCAGACTTCCCGTAGACAACTACAAAGCCAGACATACAGAAAATACCTGCTTATAAAGGTATTGGAGGGAGGGAAGAAACACAGGCCGAGAGAGAGAGGTGAGCCTGACGTTCAGAAATGCTTTCCTCTTGCGGTGGTCGCCAGTCCTGGGAGAGGCAGCTGAGAGGCCCAGTGCTTTGGTCGTCCTTGCGTGTCTGTGGGCTGGACGAGCTGCAAACTGCACTTGGAGGGGGGTCCCGACTCCGGGAGTAACAGTGAGCGAGAAGGAAACCAGCCCTTCCAAGCACATCACCTCACATCACTCAAATGAAACTAAGGCGATTCCAGAATATTGGTAGTTTAGGCCTCTGATTATTACTAAAAATTACCCTAAACTAGTTTGATACACACGCTCTAGTGCTAAATGAAAAGCAGCCAGGCCAACAAGGAACACGGCACAAACAGAACCCCAGGGAAAGCACGGACATGAGGAACAAGCCCATAGAATCTCCAGGTTACGAAACGGTCAGACCACAGACTTTAAATAACCCCATTCAAGCCCTGACTGGTGTGCTTGGTGGCTGGGCTTTGCTCCACAAAGAGAAATGCTGCCAGTTCAATTCCCAGTCAGGGCAAATGTCTGGGTTGCGGGCCAGGTCCCTCACTGTGGGTGTGTCTCTCTCCCCTGCTTTCTCCCTCCCTTCCCCTCTCTCTGAAAATAAGTAAATAAAATCTTTATAACATATAAATAAACAAATCTGAAAAAATAAAGAAATAACCACATTCAAGGATATAAAAGACAAAATTAAAAATTCCGACAGAGGACAGGAGATTATAAAATGTGGAATTAGGAGCTCAGTACTAACAGTATTGACAATAGGTTATGCACAGATGCAAGAAAGATTTATTCACTACAAATACCACATTTAACTACAGAGAGAAAAAGGATAAAATATTCAGAAAATAGATTAAGAGACATAGGGGGTGAAATGACCAAAAAAATACTACATGCAAACACTAATCAAGAAAACTTATGTAACTGCACTAATTTTAGGCAAAGTAGACTTTAAGAAGAAAAGTAATATTAGAGATAATGAGGGTCACTTTATTATTACAGAAGCTCAATTCAACAGAAAGACCTAACAACCTAGATGAGCGTGCACTGAACAGTTTTAAAATATATAAAGTGAGAAGTGGCAGAATGAAAAGAAGAAATAGATAGTGCAGGACTCGAACACACTTCCCTCAGTAGCTGATTCCATACGCAGAAAGAATCAGGGAGGCTGCAGAGGTTGGACGGACAGTGTCACAGTGAACTGACTGAGCGGACACGCAGAGAACGCCACACTCGACCATCGTGCAGGGGAATACACGTTCTTTTCCAGAGCACATTGCATGTTCATAAAAATGGGTCATTTGCTGGACCTTAAAGTAAGTCTCAACCACTTTCAAAGAACTTAAATCAGACAGACTGATGAGAAAATCCCCATATATATGGAAATCAGGAAGAGCACTAATAAGTAACCCATGAAACAAAGAAGACATTACAATGCACATTAGAAATAATTTCAAACCAAGTATAATGAAAATGTCACGCGTCGAAAATTGTGGGGTTTTCAGTGGAGGAAGGGGAGGGAAGGCAAGAGCCCTGGAGAACCCCCACCCCCGCAGATAAGCCGGGAAGGCCAATCCACCCGAGCACCTTGGCTCAGATTCACTGACTGCGTTTTGCTGTCTCCAGCTTACAGCTGAGTAAAGGGTCGAATGATGCCGAAGAGCTCTGGGTCCTGGAACTCCCCAGGTAAGGGAACGAGTGCTCTCCTGCAGGACAGAGGTCCGCCCGCTCGGGGGAGAGGCTGCTGGAAGCAGGGGTCAAATGGAGCAGGACAGAAACGACAAGGGCGACTGAAAGAGTTCAATTTTTTTTTTAAGTTGTGGAGGTGATTAGGGAAGACAAATATCAAAAGCAGGAGGCCATTTGTAGCTTTTAAAAGTTTTATTTCTTTTTAGAGAGAGAAGAAGGGAGAGAAACATCGATCTGTTGCCTCTCCTACGTGCCCTGACTGGGGACTGAACCTGCAACCCAGGCTTGTGCCCAGACCGGGAATTAAACCTGTGACTTTTCAATCTGTGGGACGATGCCCAACCAACTGAGCCACACTGGTCACAGCCAGTGTGTATTTTTGAAATCAAGAAGCTATAAGAGTTATTTTAACTCAGCCTTCATCCTCAAAGCACAGGAAAATTCATCTTGCTTAAACATGAACGATAAAAAGTACTGAAGTCGCACCCCATACAAAACTGTTACAGGAAAAAAAAGGGTGAGAAGGAGCAGAGTAATGCCGCGTGGAGGCGTGCCAGAAGATAGACCCACAGAGCCGACTGCAGCCTAGAATTTCAAAACGTTCTCAACTAAATTTTTTAAAATTAAAAAATCTGTGAAAAAAAACAGCATACCTCAGAATTGGAAAAAATCCTGAAGTAAAATGACAGGAAACTAGTGTAAGACTGAAAAAACAAAATGACAGAACTCAGGAAACCATGGAGCATGATGGAAAATATTTTCAGATCTCAGACAAGAAAAAGCTGAAGAAGTTCATCACCTTCAAACCAGCATCACAAGAAATGTTAAAGGGACCCCTTTAAGAATAAGAAGAAGGAAAAATCAAATATATATGAAAACACTGCAGAGAGAAAAACCTCTGACAAAAGCAGACACATAACAAAAGCAGTGGATCAGCCAGCTACAAAGCTAGCCCAAAGGTGCAAAGGCAAAAGTAGAAAGATCAGGCGTAATTGCAGCAGTAGATTAAGTGGTGCACACACGTGCGTGTGCGCACACACACACACAAGGTAAATGTGGAGGGGTGAGGAAAAATGTTAGTGATCCCAGAGGTGTTTGAGCTTAAATAACCATTGACATAAAATAGACCGCTAGAAACAAACATAGGTTGGTATACACAAAGCACATGGTAACCATAAACCAAACTCGGTAAGAGATATATAAGAAATAAAGAAAAAGGAATCCAAAACACCACAGAAGGTTCTCAACATAGAAGAGAAAAGAGCAGGAGAATAAGAAAGAAACAGAGAAAAACGACAGAAGCAATCAGAAAACAACTAACACAATGGCAATAACTACATATCCATCAGTAGTTATGTTAAATGTAAATGGATTAAACCCTCCAATGGAAAGACAGATGAGTAAATAAGGTGGAATCCATAGAGAAGTTTGTTAAGGATGCTCACAGCCCTGGTTGCATAGCTCAGTGGATTGAGCGCGGGCTGTGAACCAAAGTGTCGCAGGTTCGATTCCCAGTCAGGGCACGTGCCTGTGTTGCAGGCCATGACCCCCAGCAACCGCACATTGATGTTTCTCTCTCTTTATCTCCCTCCCTTCCCTCTCTAAAAATAAATAAATAAATAAATCTTAAAAAAAAAAGGATGCTCACCATTCTGAGCACACAAAACACAGAACTTACTCTGGTGTTATTATTTACTAATCAGTGTGTTATTTCCCATAGGAACAATGCAAAACTACTCTTGCCCCACCCTGCATGTATACCATGGAATGTTACTCAGTCACGAAAAAGAATGAAGTCTTACCGTTTGTGTCAACATGGATGGACCTAGAGGGCATCAGGCTAAGTGAAATAGGTTGGGCAGAGAAGGACAAATACCATGTGATTTCACTTATATGTGGAATACAAAATACAAAATAAACAAACAAGCCAGACAGAAGCAACCTCGTAGATGCAGCGAACAAACTGATGGTTGCTGGGTGGAAGGTGGGGTGAGGTGGCTGGATGACAAAGGTGAAGGGACTAAGAAGTCCCTTTGGGCCCTGGCTGGTGTGGCTCAGTGCTGGCCTGGGCCTGAGAACCAAAAGGTCACCAGTTTGATTCCTGATCAGGGCACATGCCTGTGTTGTGGGCCAGGTTCCCAGTTGGGGGCATGTGAGAGGCAACCAATCGATATTTCTCTTGCACATTGATGTTTCTCTCCTTCTCTTTCTCCTTCCTGCTCCCTCCCTCTAAAAGTAAAATAAATAAAAGAAGTACAAATTGGCAGTTACAAAAGGCGGATGTAAAGTACAGCTTAGAAAATATAGTCAATAACATGGTGATAACCATACATGGCACCAGGTGGGTACTAGATTTACCAGGAGATCACTTTGTAAGTCACATAAATGTCTAACCACTATGCTGTACACCTGAAACTAATATAATGTTGAATGTCCACTGTAGTTGAAAAATGTTTGTAAATAAGAAAACCTTCTGAGAAATGAAAGCTAAACAAGGATAAACACAGAGTACTTACAGAGATACCTTAAAAGAAAGATAAGTTGGAAAGAGAGAAATCTATTTTAATGAAAAAAGATAAAAAGATTTTAAAGTACAGCCCGGCGGGCCGCGCGCGCGGCCGCGTTTGAATGTCTCTGAGAGGGTCTCTGCCTGGGAGCAGAGGGACTCTCCAGGCTTCCGGGCGCAGTTCATCTGCACCGGAGCTGGGTTGAGGTGCCAGAATACCATGAGGCACCGGTATTTAAGAGATTATGGCATCTGAAACCCACAATGTTAAAAAACGGAACTTTTGTAATAATATTGAGGATCATTCCATTGATCTTCCTAGAAAAAGGATCTCTAATTTCACTAACAAGAACATGAAGGAGGTTAAGAAATCTCCAAAACAGTTGGCTGCTTACATAGATAGAACAGTTGGACAAGCTGTGAAAAGCACAGATAAACTACGTAAGGTGATCTACCACAGAAAGAAAGTTCATCATCCTTTTCCAAATCCTTGTAATAAAAAGAAACAGTCCCCTAGAAATGGGGGCTGTGACATGGCAAATAAAGAAAATGAACTGGCTTGTGCAGGCCACCTGCCTGAAAAATTACACCATGATAGTCGAACATATTTGCTTAACTCCAGTGATCTGGTTCTTCACAGACAGAAAGCCCATCATCAAAATACAGTAGTTTTTTTTCTGAGGTTTCTCAGGACCATGAAACAATGGCACAAGTTTTGTTCAGCAGGAATTTGAGATTGAATGTGGCTTTAACTTTCTGGAAAAAGAGAAGTATAAGTGAACTTGTAGCTTATTTGGTGAGGATAGAAGACCTGGGTGTGGTGGTGGATTGCCTTCCTGTGGTTACCAATAGTTTACAGGAAGAAAAACAATATATATCACTTGGCTGCTGTGTAGACTTGTTGCCTCTAGTAAAGTCACTACTTAAAAGCAAATTTGAAGAATATGTAATAGTTGGTTTAAACTGGCTTCAAGCAGTCATAAAAAGATGGTGGTCAGAACTATCATCCAAAGCAGAAATTATAAATGATGGAAATATTCAGATTTTAAAACAACAATTAAGTGGATTGTGGGAACAAGAAAACCATCTTACTTTGGTTCCAGGATATACTGGTAATATTGCTAAGGATGTAGATGCTTATTTATTACAGTTGCATTGAAAGACTTCATTTACTGAAGAGCATTTGGTTACTCAAAACACCCTTGGACTATCTGATTTCCAAAAAAAGTCTCATCACAGAACTATGAAACTGTGGAAGATGTTAAAACTTTTTTTTTAATCCACATATGAAACCACTAATGAAACGCTAACGATCTACTTCACATTGAAGTGGAAAAAATATCCGAAAGGAGCAGCTTTAACTTCAGTAAGGTGAAAGTGCACTATGAAGATTGTTCACCTTTGCTGCATTTGGAATTTATATGGTTATTTGATAACATTGTTTAAGAACTACTGGATCTTAATGCAATCCTGCATAAGAATATACTTTATACTATGTGAAAAAATAAGACAGAACTTATTACTAGGAACCACAAAGACCAATCATTATTACTTTTTTTAAGATTGTGTTTTATAAGAAAACACTCAAAAAGTGTGCAGCTATTTTCTTATGTTGAAAAAGACTGAAAGTTTAAAACATCATAGCAAATAATCAATACTGAAAGTTTTTGTCCACACTGAGATACTGTGTATACAAAATGCCTTAATTATTAATAAGCCAATGTGTATGATACCAATATGTTTTTAAAAAATTAAAACCAATCATGCTTCTGGCATGAAAATTATGGAATTAAATCAGGGGTTTCCATTCATGGAGAATGTTCTTATTAAAACTTATTCCACACCATCTGTAAAACTTGACAATATTTTGAATATCTCTGATTTTTCTGCCAGAATCGTCATGTATGTATGTGTTATTCCTATATAAAAGAGAAAGGTGAATATGTATTTGTATGAGTGCTTTAGCTGTAAGTATTCATAGAGTTGGCTAATTTATATTTACTTTCTATTGTATATAGATTTCTAATATTTTCTGTTCTGTATCATTTAAGCTTTCTTCATTTGAATAAATTTACTAAATATTAAAAAAAAGATTTTAAAGTACAGATATAGAAGATGAGCAAAGAAAATCAAACATATACTTAACAGGAGTCAGAATAAATAATAGGAACAGAATAAGTAATAAAAACTACAAGAAAACGTTTCTCATTTTAAAAAATTGACTATATTGAAAGCACATTCCATTGCAAGGGGAAATCAATTTAGAATAGACAACACACCTGGCTGGCGTAGCTCAGTGGATTGAGCGTGGGCTGCGAACCAAAGTGTCGCAGTTTTGATTCCCAATCAGGCTACATGCCTGGGTTGCAGGCCATGACCCCCAGCAACCGCACATTGATGTTTCTCTCCCTCTCTCTATCTCCCTCCCTTCCCTCTCTAAAAAATAAATAAATAAAATCTTTAAAAAAAAAAAGAATAGACAACACAGACCCATATTCTAATAAACTAATTGGACTTTAATACAAAATTAATAACCGTTTGGGCATCTAGGTAGAAAGACTGAGTCTCTTACAAGAGGAAGAAAATCAGGTTGTCATCAGACTTTTCAACACCAATGCTTTATGCCACAGCCAGTGGAGTGTTATAATCACACATTCAAGGAAAAAGAATGTGAACCGAGGATTTTATATCCAGCCAAACTGACCTTCACCTATTAGGCTTATAGACTATTCTAAACATGTGAGAACTCAGAGAATATTTTCCCCCACAAATACTTCCTGAGGCACCTAATAAAAAACAAACTTAAGACAACCAAATAACTGCAAAGACTTTGGCATAAGAATTGGACTAAGATTTAAATATATATTTGAATGTGTAATTAAGACTAAAAATGGACTTGCAGCCAAAATGTGAGAAATAGGTAGATACACTGTGCCTCCTCCCACAGCTAAAGAAAGGACAACAAATTTAAAAACAAAAAACAACCAGAACATTGAACTATATGGAAGTCCGACAACCAAGGAGTTAAAGAAGAAGCATTCATCCAGACCGGTAGGAGGGGCAGAGACAGGCAGCTGGGGTGGAGAGAACCCAGGTGAGGCAGCGGCTGGTGGAGTGGGCAGTCCCATATTTGCATGTGGATAATCTGGGAGGAACAACTGGGGAGTGGGATGGACCGCACAACCCAGGGCCCCAGCACAGGGAAACAAAGCCTCAAACTTCTGACTTAAAATACCTGAGGGGGTTGAGGTGCCAGGAGAAACTCCCAGCCTCACATGAGAGTTCACTGGAGAGACCTATAGGGTCCTAGAACATACACAAGCCCACCCACCCAGGAATCAGCACCAGAAGGGCCCAGTTTGCTTGGGGGAAGTGGGGGAAGTGACTGAAATCCAACAGTGAATGGAGCAAGTGCCATTGTTCCCTCTTGGACCCTGCCCCACATACAGCATAACAACCCAGTGACGGGGTTGCCTTGCTGTGGTGAACACCTAAGGCTCCTCCCCTCACTACGTAACAGGTGTATCAAGATAAATAAAAAATGGCCAAATGAAAGAACAGATCAAAGCTCAGAAAAAATACAACTAAGCGACAAAGAGATAGCCAACCTATCAGTTGCACAGTTCAAAGCACTGGTGATCAGGATGCTCACAGAATTGGTTGAATTTGGTCACAAATTAGATGAAAAAAATGAAGGCTACACTAAGTGAAATAAAGGAAAATGTATAGGGAACCAATAGTGATGGGAAGGAAACTGGGTCTCACATCAATGGAGTGGACCAGAAGGAAGAAAGAAACATCCAACCAGAAAAGAATGAAGAAACAAGACTTCGAAAAAATGAGGAGAGGCTTAGGAACCTCCAGGGTACTGTTAAATGTTCCAACACTGAATTATAGGGGTACCAGAAGGAGAAGAGGAAGAGCAACAAGTGGAAAACTTATTTGAACAAATAATAAAAGAGAACTCCCTAATCTAGCAAAGGAAATAGCCTTCCAGGAAGCTCAGAGAGTCCCAAAGAAGTTGGACCCAAGGAGGAACACACCAAGGCACATCATAATTATATTACCCAAGATTACAGATAAGGAGAGAATCCTAGAAGCAGCAAGAGAAAAGGAGGCAATTAACTACAAAGGAGTTCCCATCAGACTGTCAGCTGATTTCTCAAAAGAGACCTTACAGGCAAGAAGGGGCCGGAAAGAAGTATTCCAAGTCATGAAAGGCAAGGACCTCCATCCAAGATTGCTCTATCCAGCAAAGCTTTTATTTAGAATGGAAGGGCAGATAAAGTGCTTCTCAGATAAGGTCAAATTAAAGGAGTTCATCATCACCAAGCCCTTATTATATGAAATGTTAAAGGGATTTATCTAAGAAAAAGAGGATAAAAAATATGAACAGTAAAATGACAGCAAACTCACAATTATTCACAACCACTCCTAAAACAAAAACAAAAGCAAACTAAGCAAACAACTAGAGCAGGAACAGAACCACAGAAATTGAGAGCACATGGAGGGTTATCATCAGGGGAGTGGGAGGGGGACAGAGACTAAGTAGCATAGATGGTAGGTATAAAATAGACAGGGGGAGGGTAAGAATAATATGGGAAATGTAGAAGCCAAAGAACTTATATGTATGACCCATGGACGTGAACTGAAGGGGGGAATGTGGGTGGGAGGGGTTGTGCAGGGTGGAGGGGAGTGAAGGGGGGAAATGGGAAAACTGTAATAGTATGATCAATGAAATATATTTTTTTAAAAAGCAGCAAGAGAAAAGGAGACAGTTACCCACAAAGGAGCTCCCATTAGACCTGATTTCTCCAAAGAAAGCTTGCAGGAAAGCAGGGGCTGGAAAAAGTACTCCAAGTCATAAAAGGCAAGGACCTACATATGAGATCACTCTAACCAGCAAAGCTATCACTGAGAAAGGAAGGGCAGATAAAGTGCTTCCCAGATAAGGTCTGACGCATCACTGACCAGCAGTGACCTTGGAACGCTGCAGATGGCTCATCAACACTCAAGAAAAACATACACAGAGACAACCAGATCCTGTAGGGAAGTAGGAATGGAACAGCCACTCTCTCTAGTGGGGAGAGCTTCCGTTCCCCTGCAGGAGAGGCTTTTTATTGGTTTCATTTGCATAAGAATTCAGGTAAAGCTCATTACCCATTGCTAGGAAGTAAGGATCAAATAATAGATAACAAGGAAGTCTGAGGGCCCATTTTGAGTCAGGGTCAAAGAGCTGTAAAACTTTGAGGAACAAACTTACTTCTTCCTTGGACCCTTATCATTCAACTGAGAGCATTCTAAACAAAGCAGGTTTCACAGGATTTTACATATTCTTTCTTAGGCCTGATCACCTGGGCAACCCGCTTTCCAGCACAGGGCTGCACCACCCTCTGTCATTGTTTCAGGTTTAGGTGGAGCAAGGGAACTAAGGCAACCAGGAGATTAGGAGATTTTCTCACAGACAATGAGGACTCGGGCTATGTCAAAGCCGAGGGGGCGAGGGTCCATCACCCCCTTTTGCTGTAGCTCCCAAAGTCCTTCCTTGGGAGCCTCCCATGTGATTGTGCCTGTCTTAGGTCATTCCCCCCTTGGGGAATCTTACCCATCATTGGCTAACTGACCAACCATTAGGGGCCAGGCAGGGTGAAGTAAAAGGAGCAGAAGCGGTGGTCCTGCCAGGGAGATAGGCTTTTGTCTCCTTGGTGGCTTATGGTCCAAGGTCATTCCCTCAGCCTTAGCCTAGGCGGGGGTTACAGCTTCTGATACCAGGCAGGGCAGTTCCCAACAAAGATCAAGTTAAAGGAGTTCATCATCACCAAGCCCTTATTATATGAAATGTTAAAGGGACTTATCTAAGAAAAAGATCAAAATTGTGAACAGTAGAATGACAACAAACTCACAACTATCAACAACTGAACCTAAAAAAACAAAAACAAATTAAGCAAACTACCAACACAGGAAAAGAATCACAGAAATGGAGATCACATGGGAGGGTTATCAGCTGAGAGGTGGGTAGAATGGGGGGAAAGGTACAGGGAATAAGAAGCATAAATGGGTAGGTACAAAACAGACGGGGAGCTTAAGAATAGTGCAGGAAATGGAGAGGCCAAAGAACTTATATGTATGACCCATGGGCATGAACTAAGGTGGGGGGGGGATTCGGGTGGGAGGGGGTGTGCAGGGCGGAGGGGAATAAAAGGGGGAAAATGGGACAACTGTAATAGCATAATCAATAAAATATATTTTTAAGACTAAAAGTGATGGTTATAATGGAAACAGTACAACAATACAATGGCTATTGTTTTGAAATATAATATACATTAAATATATTTGTGTACATACAAATATGAAAGTAATGAAAGTAAGCTTGCCTGTATTACTGAATATAAAATTGGGTGTTATGAATGTATTAATTGGACCAATGAAAATTTTCCTTTCAATGATTGTGTGGACAGAAACCACATCTGGTGGAAAGGGGGCACCATATAGAAACAGCTGAAACTCCAATGACTGGTGAGGTCTGCTGCGTGAATAGCAAAGGAGGATGCATGAGAATGGATAGGCAATATGAAAAATAGGATAAGCTCATTTTTTGCCTGATATGTATGAACTGAGAGAAAAAAGACACCCCTTCAAGCCCTACGCTGGGAGAGAGGAGGAACAGGCAGAAGAAGAGGTTACTAGACAGTTGGCACTCGCAGCACAGCAGCAGCCGGGGGTATCGGAGAAACAGAACCAACGGGATTTGCATGTGGGGAAAGATTCTCATTCTGAGGAATTGTCTTATGTAATCGTGGAGTTTGGCCAGTTCAAAATCTGTGTGGTAGACCAGCAGGCTGGAAACTCAGGCAGCATTTCTATTTTTTTTCTTTTTAATCATTTTCACTTTCCCATTGTAGCGGACACACAACATTATATTAGTTGCGGGTATACAACCGGTCCAGGTAACTTACGAGGTGACCACCCCGACACACCCAGTCCCCATCTGGCACCACAGGCGATTACTACAACAGTATCAGCTGTGTTCCCCGTGCTGCACGTTCCGCGCCCATGACTGTTCCGTGACTACCAGTTCGTGCTTCTCAGCCCCTTCCCCGTGTTCACAGGACCCCTAGACCCCTTTCCCACCTGGCGACCATCAGATTGTCTTCAGTATCTATGAGTCTGTTTCTGTTCTGTTTGTTCATTTATCATGTTCTTTAGATTCCATGTTTAAGTGAAATCATGTGGCATTTGCCTTATTCTGCCTGATGTTTCACTCAGCACAATGTCCTCCAGGTCCATCTGTGTTGTTGCAGGTGCACGAGTTCATTCTTTTTTATGGCTGAGCCATATTCCATTGTGTGTATGTGACCTTTGTTTCTCCACGCAGCTACTGATGGACACTCAGGTTGCTTCCGTATCTTGGTTATTGTAAATAATGCTGCAACGAACATGTGGGCGATAAATACATATTCACTGCCATTTTATTATTCATATATGAATAATAACTACATATTCATTGCCATTTTAATTTTTTTCCTATAGGGAACCGATCCATGTGGAATGGCGAGTAGCCCAGCCCTGTCAGAAAGCCCACAGACGTGCAGGAGCCAAACCCAGGGATCGGCTCTCCCGTGGGAGTCAGGCCTGCACTGTACCCAGGCTGCTTTGGGGCTCGCTCTTGCTGAAACTCCCTCACCCTGAACTGAAGCTGCAAGTGCTTACTGCATGTCTTTAACGTAACTTTCTGACGTCTGTGCTAATTCCCCCAAGGATGGAGTGTAACCAGGCCAATTACTCTTTTCACTCCCTTGCATTTGCAGCATTTTTCCCTTGTTAATCTGCAGGAAGTAATCAGTGACATCATTTCCTTTGTCATCTGTGAAAGTAATCACCTAAAGCAAACCTGAGCATAATGAAGAACCTTCCTGATATGCTATTAGAAAGCAATAAAAGCTTGTCGAGGCAAGGGTCGAGGTGCTCTCCCCCTGAGAGAGTGGCTGTGCCGTCCCCTTTTCTCCACAGGACTTCGGTAGTCTGTGTGAATTTGTTTCATCTCATCCACAACACCGTGGACACTGCTGGCCAGAGTCTGCATCCTTTTCCCCCTTTTTCTTAAAAAAGACCTTTTAATGTTTCTTGTAACACTGATTTGGCAGTGATGAACTCCTTAAGGTTTTTTTTTGTCTGGGAAGCTCTTTATCTGTCCTTCAATTCCAAATGAGAGCTTTGCTGGACAGAGTAATCTTGGTTGCAGATCCTTGTTTTTCATCACTTTGAATATTCTGTGCCAAGAGGCTGGGTAGGCACTGGGGTTCAGGACGTGGGGGGCTCTGGGGAGGCCCCGCCCCTCAGCGGCCCTGGGGAGTTTCTGCCACAGCAGGGCAGCAGAGAACAGTGGTCCCAGCCAGGCCCCCTCACCCCGAGACACCAGGCAGCCCCCCCCCCACCGCCCGTGCAGGCCCAGTTCCCTCGTAAACCAAGCAGAGCCATAAATCCACTGGACTCAGGGAGAAGCAGCGAACCCTCCTCCTCCTGAGGATGTGGTGGGAGGACAGCCGTTCCTGAGAGGTCGCGGCAGACAGACAGCACAAAGCCTGGGGGTCACCCCCCCACCGCCCCCTGGAAGACACTTACTCGGAGCCTCAGGGCACCCCGTTTGCACACAAGCCTGACGCCCCGGGACATAACGCTGCAAGAGGACAGGCCAGAGCGGGGGAGACCTCCTGTCACTGTGGGTCTGTTGTACCTCCACGAGGATGAGGATGGGGCTGGGCGAACCTTGAGAACCCTCCCCTAGGGGCTCGGGCTGCAGCACAGGTCCCAGCCCGAAGGGAGAAAGCCTGAAAGGTTAGAAGGAGACTGGTTTGGGGGGGCCCTGCTGGTAAGAGGAGAAGGCGGTGGGGAGGTGGGGGAAGGAGGGAGGGGGGAGAGGGGCCATGGGCTGCGGGCTGCGGCCCCTGTGAGGACCTGTGATGGCCAGGCCGGCAAGCTCCTGGCTGATGGGGCTCGGGGATGCCCTGGAGCCACAGGGACTGGGACAGCTCCAGGCCCTCTCCCACTTCCAGCTTCTTAAAACAAGAACAGGAAGTGCACGCGTACACAAACACTGGGGAGAAACTGCATCTGCTTTCCTCATGAAGGGTCGCTGGGAGCACCGAAACCCCAAGCCCAGACTCCCATGGGCACGTCACAGAGACCCCAGGCAATACCCAGGGAGGCAGGGTGGGCCCAGACCCCCTCGGAGATATGAGGCAGCAGCCCCTGCTCCGGGGGGGGGGCTTGGTCCCCCCTCCATGGTGTCTGCGGCCTGAAGCCCCCAATTGGGTCTGCATCTTCGCAACTGTGGGTTCAGGTGGGCGTGGTGCCTCTGCAGGTTCTCATGAGCACAGAGGGGCTCACTCCCTTCCCTCCCCCTGGGAAGCCCCTGCGGAGACTCAGCAGCCTGCTCCCCACTTGCCCCTAGCTGCCACCCTCAGCCACTGCCATCCTGTAAGGAGCCCTGAGGGAGAGGACAGAAGGAGCCCAGGGGACCAGGTCAGGAGTGGGCAGATCAGGGACAGACAGGCAGATGGCGGGACGGAGGAATGAATGAAGAGGTGAATGAATGAAACAGAAGAAGAAAGCGTGCAGGCAGGGTGACGCGGGGACAGAGTGGGAATGAACCCCATCTCCCCAGTGGCGCCTTGGGCTGGGACTTGGCCGTGCTCCCCCTGGTCCTTGCTCAGGGACAGCCCCGCTTGGCTCACTGACTAAGCCGATCCTGACAACAGCCCATGAGGCAGAGGTTCTGGGAAGCAGACCCAGCGGGCAGGGAGGAGATGGGGGTGGGAGGGGAATGAGCCCTGCCCTGTCCAAACCTGGGGGGTCCGCAGAAGCCTCCCCTGGGCTGGGCTTCCTGGAAGAGGGTCACAAACACCAGCTGGGGTCCCTCTCCATTGCCCCACTGGACCGTGCCTGCCAAACAGCAAAACATCACTCTGCCCACTACTGGCCCAGCTCCGGGTCCTGACCCTGGAAGGTGAGCCCGTGAGGGTGTGGTCCAGCAGGGCAGGTTTCCCGGTCCTGAGCCAGGGTGGGATACGGGGCCCCCGGACAGCACTGAGTGCACCCCAGCAGACCAATACTCGTACACAGGGTCCCCCACTCCCTCGCCCACACCCCTGGAAGAAAATCCAGCCTTGGGGAGCTGGCGCAATCTATCTGAGGGGGCCAGTGCTGGTGACTGAAGTCAGCCTGGGCTAGACCAGTGACACTGTAGCAGTGCCTTCGCCGAGCCTCCTGGCTCCTGGAACCAGGAACAGAGTCACATACCACACCTTCTCTGCCCACGCCGTCATTGTCCCCAGACGCCCACCCGTCCCATGCACAAGCCTGCTGCCTGCTGCCTGCATTGTGCAAAGGCCGGGAGGCTGCTTCCTTGCTAGAGCCCAAACCCATGTGATCCCCACATGCCAGTGCACAACAAACGCACCTTCTCCACCCTCTCGCCACTGGCCACAGTGTCTCTGGGTGGGCGGACAAGCCGCTGCACTCCCCGTACTCACCGTCCAATGTCTGAGCAGACCTTGGAATCGGCAGCCACCGCAGCACGGGAGAAGGCCTGGGGGCCGCAGCGAGGGTGGTGGCGGGAGAGGACCACGGCGGGCACGATGATGGCCAGGGCCAGGCCCAGCCCCAGAAGCACCACGCCCAGCGTGACCCCGTAGCCCTGGGCCATGGCTCTGCAGCCCTGGGAGGAGGCTGGAGAGGAGGCCGGTGGGCAGACAGATGCACAGACAGCTGCGTGGCTAAATGGACAAGACAATTCCCAGAGGGATTCACAGGTGACAGGACAGATAGACAAACAGATGGGGCCAGAGTCAGACAGACAGACAGGCAGACAAACAGATTGGAGAGAAGACAGCAAGAGGAGGATGGTCAGACAGACAACTGGACAAAGGCGGGGTTGCAGAAGGACAGACAGGGTAACAGACGAGCAGTGGACAGCCAAGCGGACAGGTGGGTGTGTGGACAGACGGCTCGTGGCGGCAGAACAACTGTCCTCCTTGAGTGCAAGCTACAGCAGGAGAGCTGGTCGCATGCCTGCTCTCCAGTTCTCAGCTCCTGCTCTCAGCCCTGGAATGAGACCAAGAAGGCCACTGCGTTCATGGGGAATTTTTCCTCCTAGAGGAGCAAGTGGTGGCAGTTAACTCCCTCGCTGCCATTCCTACGGCCTGCCCTAGCAAGCCTGGGTGGTACATCAGCCCTCCCTGTCCACCGGCTGGAGCAGGCTTTCCCATAGGCTGGTTCCCACAGCTGCTTCATGGGGTGGTGAGGGCTGCGGGTGCCTCCTCCTACACTACCTCCGCCCCCACGTCCCAGTGACATTGCTCAACCAGAAACCAAAATGCATTCCTGGGCCAGGGCCAGGTCACCCTCCAGGAAGCAGGGACATGGGGGGGAGGGGCGAGAGAGGGTAGACAGGGTCAGGGGTGGGACATCCCCCTTCCTCTCCCCAGCCATCCTGGTCAGGCAGAGGCCAGGATGCAGGGACCACAGAACAAAGGTCCAAGAAAAGAACTGACATCACAAGTGGCCCGGCCAGAGGTGCAGCGGAGGACCAGCCGGGAAGGGCCCTGAGTGTCTGTGTCCAGAAAGAGGGGAAACGGAGCCCCTTGGGGTCTGGGAAACTGGGGTACGCTCCGTCCTTGTGCCGGGGCCTGGGGAGCCTCCTAGCCAGCCCCCATTTCCGTCAGGAACAATGCCCACCCCTCTGCCTCTGTCCGCTCCCCTGCACCTGTGGCCGTGGGCCGTCCTCTGGGGCCACATGAGGGCTAGGGAGTGACCGGCACACCCCCCAGCCTAGTCTCCATCCCACCTCGGGGATCCCAGCGACTGGGCTCAGACCCTGCAGGCACAAAGCCTGCTTTCCTGTGGACACTTGGGAAGCACAGGTGTTCCCACCTCAGGAAGGAAAGCCAGACGCCTGCGCTGGCCCCTGCACCCAGGGCCCCACTCGTGCTCACTGGCGGGCACTATCTGCCGGGTCGGGGCCCCCTCTCCCCTGACCGCCTCCACCAGCCCTTCCCAGCACCGTACTTTAGGTGCCCCATGAGTTAGCAGACCCTGCGGGCAGGGGAAGGGCTGGCCCCGGATGGGGGAGACAGGCTGTTGTGTTCACCGCCCCCCACTGTGTTCCCCAGCCACTCGCTGGTTCAAGCCCTGACCCTCGGGGATCTCGGGACCTCCTCCAGTTCTCTGTTCCTGAGAACCTGGCCTCCTGGAGCTGATCGCAGCTTGGGTTTCATTCTGCATTTGTGCTTGGAAAGCACCCCCGGGGCCTGGCTCTGACCAGCATGTTCTGCTCCACTCTTTCGCCCAATCCCACTCCCCAGACCTCAGCTTCACCTCCTTGTGTCCTCAGCAGGGTGATCTGGACACCCGCCAGGCTGAGGAGACATCCAGGTTCCTTGGACCAGTGGGAGGCTTCTGCTCGAGGGAAAGCCAAGGCTATGGCGCCCCCTGGTGTCCAAAACTGGAAGCACCGCTGCCCGGCAGAGGGACTAGAAGGCCTGGCCCCTGGTGCTGGGGCTCAGGGTGAGGAAGGACAGGGTTTGGCATGGGCTTGCTCTGTGTCCCCTCCCACCCGCGGGGCTCGCCATCCTCCCCACCAGGTGGCTCCATTTTACACAGAATGCTGAGGCCCAGAAAACTGGGAGCCAGCCAGCACCTAGCGCTGTGGCCCCCATTTATTGCACTGCTTCGCCGCTCCCGGGAGAAGCCCAACCCCCAAAGTCTCAGTCCTTCGTAGGTATCTTGTCACTGGGTTGCCGCTCAGCCCTGCCTGCTCCTGACACTCAGTAGCCGGCAGGCTCCCCGCCTTTCCTGGAGTCTGAGGCGGCCGCCCAGCCGCCAGCCGTGGGGACGATGGCCTGCACCACAGCGATGAAGGTAGACTTGACCTGGGTGTGGTGGTGCCGGGTCTCCAAGCCTGTGGTCACTGCCTGGGGGGAGCGGGGGAGGGAGGCTTCAGGGGGCCTGAGACGCCCTCGGAACCACACCTGTGCTGTCAGCGGCTTCATGGACCCAGGTAACACCCAGGAAGAGTGCATCGGGGGAGCTGGGCCTGCTGAGTCTTGTTGGAGCCCGAGGCCTGGGCCTCACAGCACGGGGGCCCGAACCGTCCCAGGCAGTGGGTGCGAGGACACCTGTTCCTGGCAGGAGATGCCAGCTGCCGCCCCTCCATGATGGGACGGGAGGTCCAGAGCTCCGTCTCAGGACACCCAGTGCCCACCCCCTGCTGTGACTCAGTTTCCCCACCGCCCACCCTACCTGGTCGATGTGCTTCTCCACGGTTGTGGTGTTGGGCAGAAGCTGGTTGTGCAGCCGGGGCTCCTCGACTGCCCGCTTCACGTCGTAGCCGAACCACAGGCTGTTGATGATGGCCTACGCGGGACGGTCAGGGGAGCGTGGGGTCAGTGCGGCCCGAGGGCAGGGGCTGAGGGGCCGGGAGGGGGCACCTACCAGCGCTGTTGCCGTGGTGATCTGGGTGCCCCCAGAGGCACCCACCACCATACGGACCCGGCCGTCCCGGTCCACGATAATTGCTGGGCACATGGACGAGAGTGGCTGCTTCCCTGCGGGCCGTAGGGGACAGACAGGCCGGTCAGCTGCCCACCTGGGACACCAGCCCCGTCCCCACCCAACGCCCCCACCCCGCACCTGGCTTGATGAAGTTGGCTGGTGAGGGAGGCACCCCAAACTGGTTGGTGATGTTGGGGGAACTGAAGTCGTCCATCTCGTCGTTGAACAGGATCCCGCTGACCTGCGAGAGCACCTTGGAACCGAAGCTGCAGGCCGGCTGAGTCAGACAGCTGTGCCCTGCCCACCGGGCTTGGCCCCGCCCACCCACCGAAGCTCCGCCTCGAGCCCCCGTGAGGTCTGGGGCAAGTGTTCTACCAAGGTGGAAGCTCAGCTTTCTGCCCTGAAAGGGATGGATGGAGCCCTGCCTCTGGGACAGCAGGGCGGCCCCCGGCCCACCCAGGCCACCTGGCAGCCCCTACTATAAGTTGATGGTGCTGGTGGCCGACACGGCGCTGCCATCCTCGGCAACCACGGACAGGTGGGCGGTGCCCCCGTCGTCTGGAGTGTAGAACTCAGGCTCGTAGTAGGAGGCTGGGTGAGTGGTGTCGTCCGAGATCCGGTTCCGGAGTCGGGCAGCGAAGAACTCGGAGCTCATGTTTCGGACCACCTGCCGAGACCCCAGAGCTGTCCTGAGGAGGCGGAGGGGTGGGAAGGGGCACCGACTTGTGCAGGCAGCTCTCAGGAGCCCCCCCACCATGGCTCCGAGCCCAAGCCTCCTGCACCCTCGACCTCCTGTGACCCGTCTGCCCCCTCACCAGCCTCTGGCCCTGTTGCCATCCGGCAACTCTGAATGTCTGTCTGTCTGTCTGTCTGTCTGTTCCCCAAGCCTCCCTTCTAGCCACATGCATTTATTCACTGAGCTTGCACTGCGTGCCTGGCACTGGGGGATCAGCAGGGAACAGACTAGCAGGTCCCCATCCTCACAGCCAGGAAGACAGGGACATGCTGGGAAGAACAAGCCAGGTAAGGGTGGTAGGGAAGGGTGGGGCGGGGTGGAGTAGTCAGGGAGGGCTTCTTAGAGGAGGTGACATCTGGAAAGAGCACTGAATGAGGCCTGGGTGGCAAATGCAAAGGCCCTGAGGCAGGCAGATGGTGAGTTGGGTACCAAAGACTGGAGGTTGGAGGTGCAGGCAGGGGCTGACCGCACAGGTCCTCACAGGCCTCCTAAAGACTCTGGCTTCTGCTCTCCACCACCCAGGATTGGGACAGAGGAGTGCGCATGCGGTGGCTGTTCTCCCAGGGTCCCTCTGAAGGCCGTATGGGGTAAATGAGTGGAACCCAATAGAGAGGCTGTGACATCAGTCGGGGGAGAGACGAGGTGGCTCACCCAGGTGGGAGAGAAGGGGCAACTGAAAATGGCCCCAGAGTCTTCGGTCCAGAACAGCCCTTAATGGGGGACATGAACACAGTGGAAGGGACAGGTGTGGGGATAGAGGGAGCTCGAATTGGGACAGATGCCCATTGGACACCGAAGAACCTGTCTTGAGTGGGTGGTGAACCTCCACGTCAGGATCACGGGCGAGATCCACTGAGGGACGAGCGTGGAGACAGCGGCTTGAAGCCGCGAGCCTGGGTGGGCAGATGCAGAGGAAGGGCAAACCAGGGACAGGAGGGGCGGAGGCGGGAGCAGCCAGCCAGGACAGCCCTGGGGGGCCAGCAGAGGAAATGCCTCCAGAAGGTTCCAGCAGCTCCTCCTAGATTAACTGACTAATCCAGGGGGCAGTCTGCAGCCTGGATCTACTCTCAGGGAAACAGAGTCAAACGCAGGATGTAGGACCTTGTACGCGAGAACGGCCCTGGACTTTAAAACCCCACAGAGCGCCAAGGGGGCCGCTGCAGGTCAGGAGACCAGAGAGACAAAAGTGCCCGGGGGCGGGGGGGCCCTGGGCCTGAACTCACTGGGACCCTCAGCGAGACCCCGACACAGGCGTCTCACAGGGCGGCCGGCCCCATGTGCGTGGGAGAAGTCCTCGCTCGGGAGACGCCCTCTGAGACTGGGTCTCCACTGACTTGGGCAAACATGGGGCCACCAAAGGCAGAGGCCGGCAGGAGAGGACTCCGGAAGGGCCGGAGCTGGCCGCCTGCTCCCCGGGGAGCAGAGGAGTAGTACAGGGCGGGAGCGGGGCTGGAGAGACGAGAGCACACCGGCCTCAGGAGCGAGGGACCCGAACGGGCAGAACGGGGGCACGAGAGGCAGAGCCGCCTCTTTGGGAGGGCGCAGCTGCGTCAGCGAGTGGGCAAGCAAAGGCCCACCTGACACAGGACAGGGGGGAGAGCGGGTGGCCATGCAGTGGCTTCTGTGGCCTTGGGATACGAAACACGTCACTGGCTGGGGTGGGTGATGGGGGCACAGAGTGGTCACCAGGAACTAGAAAAGGCCTGGGAGGCCAGAGGGGTTGCTGGGCTGCTGAGGCCCGCCCTGGGCAGCACGGGTCAGTGTATGGGGTACCCCAGAACCGGGTGTCCGAGCAGGTAAGGATGGCTGTCACGGGGTCACAGTCTGGAGGGCTGTCACGGGGTCACAGTGAGGCCCAGCCTCGGGCTGGGGCAGCTGGTGGTCAGAGGGCTGGGCAGTGCAGAACCGGGTGGGGATCTGGGAAGTGTCACCTCCTGGATCTGACCAGCTTGCAGGTGGCCAAGGCCTCTGCCCTCCTGGGACATGGG